TTTTTTTTTCCTTTTAATTTTTATTTTGTGGCAACGTATGAATTTGTTTTTTCCCGCTGCTTTTTTTTTCCGCCGGGCCGGTCCTAGGGCCGCCGCTCCCTCAGGCCGGGCCCCGCAGCCGCGGCCGCGGCGGGCGTGTGGCCGCGTCCCTCGCCATCCCCAGCCATGGCTCTCTCTGCCCCCGCGCCCCGGCTCCGCTCCGTGCTGCAGCGCCGCCGCCGCCGCACCGCGCACGCGCGCGGCGCCCCCGCCCGCCCGCCCCGCCCCGTGACGTCAGCGCCGCTCATAAGCGGCGGGCCCGCGCGGCGGGGCCCAGAGCGGCGGTGCCGCTGCCCCGGGCCGCGCTCCCGCCGCGGGCACGGAGCGCCGCCCCGCCCCGCGCCCAGCACGGACACCCGCCCCGCCCCCTCGGTGACTCCGCGTTTTCCGTGAGCGCGGAGCCTCCTCACCGGCAGCTTCCGGAGGTGACACCGGACCGCCCTGCCCCGCGGGCCGTGCCCCCCGTGTCCCCCGCACTCCCCGCCGTATCTCCCCCACGCTGTCCCGCAGCCGCCTGTCCCGGTATCGCTCCTCTCAGGTGCCCTACGGGGAAACTTCCCCTTGCCCGGCCTGGGGATGGGCGGTGGGAGCCCCACGGCGCTGCGTCCCGGGGTCAGCCCCGCGCCCCTCCACTGCCAGCGCCCGCCCCAGGGGTCCCGCGGTCCGGCCGGGCGGTGCGATGCGGGGGACGCCCCCCTGCAGCTCCCGCCGGGGACCCCGGGCGTGCCCGGCGGTGCAAGGCGAGCATATGTCCCGAGGCGCCCAGCAGCCGGACATGCCGCTGGTTTTCTTTTATTTTTTCTTCAAAAAGAAAGAAAAGGAGGCGGAGGAGAAAGAACAAGCGAGCTCACCCGCCGGCCCCCCTCGTTAGCTAAGGTGCCTTTATGCTGGAAGAAAGGGCAGATGTGCCTATTGTTCGCCCATTAACAATAACGAACCACGCCGGGCAGAGTGCAGCGTGTGCGCGGCGCCGAGCGGCGGGAGGGACGGGCCGAGCCGAGCCGAGCCGCGGGAGAGCCGCGGGGCCGCAGCCGGGCGGCACCGGGCCGGCGGCGCACAAAGGCCGCCGCCGCTTCCCCCCGCACTGCTGTCGGGGACCGCGGTTGCTCTCGGCACCCTGCGGAGCCGCCTGTCCCCATCGCCCCGGCCAGGCCCGGGGACAGCGAGCGGATCTCCGCCGCGCTGGGGCTCAGGCCGGGACCCCGGTCTCTTTTCCATGGAAGGCGGGGGTAGGACTTGAGCACCTGTCCTGGCAAAGCTCGCACCGGCAGCACGCAGAGCGAGGGCGAGCCGCTTCGTCCCGCGGGACCCGTGCAGAGGTCTGTGGGTCACCCTCCCTGCGTTCCGCTGAGAGCTCCGAGGCCCCTTCCCTGGTAGGAGGCAGGAGTCGCTGCCAGCGGGCAGAGCTCCGCGGGGAGCGCAGGCTGCAGGGGCAGAGACAGGAGCCGGTCCTGGGGCAGAGTCCTGAGAGCAAGTTGAAATCAGCCCCTGAGATTACTTTTCTCGGAGTTATTGCCCTAACTTCACGCACAGGGCCTGCGGAGATACCCCGTGGGGCGAGGGGAATGGCACGGCTCGGGGCCCCGTGGGGTCTCGCTGTTCTCCGGTTCACCGAGGCAGCGAGACCGCTCACCCCGCGCTTTGAGCCCGAAATACCGCACCAGCGGCCGAGGCCGGGGCAGCGGCGGGGCCTCGGCGAGGAGCCCCGTGGCCGGAGCCAGGCCCGGCCCGCTCCTTCCCTGCTGCCCGTCCACAACGCCCACGGACCAGGTGCGGCCCCCGCGGGCTGCGGCCGTGCGGACCGTGCCTCACACCGGAGCGGCCGGCCCGTCCTTCCGCACCCCGCAAGGAGACTCGGGGCTGAGCGGGAGCCCGCGCTGCCTCTCGCCCAGGCACCGCCGCACTCCTGGGGCGCTCACGGGGACCGTGCCCTGGGATGTCCCCCCGGCGTGGGGACTGCTGCCCGGGACCGGCCCCGTGCGTGGCTGCGTGTGCACAACCCGCGTGTGCCTGCGCTCGGGCAGCTCAAAATTCACCAGGCGCTGGGAGGCTCGCAGGAAACTTTCAGAATCACAACTATCGTCTGTGTGTGTGTTGCGTGTATGGCCCTGGAAGCGAGTATACTTTTCCGCCTCTATAAATTCAGAATTTCCACAGCGGTTTTATGTATTTCCCAAAATTATCACACTCACTCACACACACACACACACACACACACACACACACACACTTTTAAGAATTCTGAGCTATTGAACCCCGTCTCCAATAGAAATCAATTGCTCACTGCCGTTCATTTTCCCTGGGTGCAAGGAGTTCCCCGTATTTTATTTTGTGCTAAAAAAAGTCCCACGTACATATCCCCACTGTTCCTACCACCCCAGCCACCCCCAGTCCTAAATGTTTCCACAACTTTCAAAATTTTTGTAACGTTAACGCTGATAGTATCTCCATTTCTGATAGCGAGGAGTAGATAAGGAAATGTATTTCTGCCAAAAAAGAAAAAATAAACCTGAAACCTAGTCAGTGACCTCAGAAAATGTTTAGGATAAAATAAAATAAAATAAAATACAATATAACGCAAAAAATAAAATACAATAAAATACAATAATAAAATAAAATAAAATAATCGAGAACGTTTTGAGACCGAAGTGAACAGCTGTGATTGTTTCCCAAGCCAACGCAAGGTGATGTCACAGATCTAATCGAAACATTGTCAGCTTCTTCATCATCAATATCTGTACACAATTTACAGTTTAATTAAAAATATTTAATCTCTGTGTACTTAGCGATTAGTTATCAAAGCAAACGTCATAGCGAATATGCTACTTCCTCGAGTTTGTGGGAAATTGCAACATCAAATTTTTCTTCAAGAAATGAGTATAATCCCGAACGCAAAAAATTTGGAGAGTCCTGTGACACGCTGGCCTCCGTCGAGGTTCAATCTCTAACCTTAGAAAAGAGTGGCCTTATGAACGCACCCAGCTCCCCCCAGCCCTGCATGCATCTTTTATTTTTAAAATATTTTTCCGTTACTCTGGGGGTGACCCAAGGACGAAGCGGCTCTGGTGCGCAAAAGCCGCCGGCGTGAAGGACAGAGCAGGACCACGGGCCCGGTGACCCCGGTCCCGTCTCAGCTGCAGAGTGCCCCGGGACCCCGGCATGGGCTCGCAGAAGCCCGGGACAGGGCGGACGACGCCGGCACACCTCCCCGCAGCCTCCCTTCTCCGCCGTCGGGGGTGCCCGTGCGTGGGCTCCCCTCGTCCGGACCTCGGCACGGTTCCCCCGCCGAGCTTCCCGCCCCACTGGCGAAGGGCGAGCGCCGGAGAGAGATCATTTCGGTGCGCTAATCAATTACTGCTTGTGCAGTCAAGTACCATATATTTAACAGAATAATCGTTACCGCCCTTAAGTCTTTATTTGATCAGCAGATACTCGGAGCGGACTTAAAACGCAACTTTGCTTGTTTGAATTGCGTGGCGTGTGTGTGCTTTTTAAATCCGAGCTAATGACACCATGAAACGGCCGTAATCTCCCGCCTGACGCCAGCAAACACCGCGCGGGCACCGGGGCCCGCCCGACGTGGCGGCCCGGCCCGGGGCAGCGACCACAGCGCGCTGCAACCGACCGGACAGAGCTGGTTTTCTTTCCTTTTTATGTCTTTTATTTTTTCCCCCTTTCTTTTATTTTTTTCTTCTTTTAATTTATTTTTATTTGTATTCCACTTTTCCACTTTGATTTTCTTTCAATGGCGTGTGAGGGGGCTGCCGCCGCCCGCGCCCTCCCGCGCCTCCTGTGCGGTGACAGCTTGCGGCACCGGGTCCCCTCGCACGGGCAGCGTGTCAAAGGTGACGCTCGAAGGCTCCCAAAGCCAACAGCTGCCGGGGGGGATTAACTTTTCCAGACTTTCCCCTGTCGAGCTTCTTGGAAACTTGCTTGGCGACAAAAACATATACATCTGTCGGGGGCAGACAGAGAACAGAGGGCTGCGCCGGCCGGGGCAGGTGGGGGAGGGCCCGGCTTTCAGGGGAAGCTGCGGCGCGGCGGGGGCTCGCTGCGGGTGCCCGCCCGGGGGGGTCCTGCCTTTCCCCCTCCCCCGGGCCCGGACTTCTGCCCGAGGGAATCCTTGTGGAACCCAGGGTCGGCAGCGCGGCGACTGAACTCGCTCCAAGCCGGCCCCTGCCACCTGCCTAAGGGCGCTGGGCTCTTGCCTTCTCCCCTCTGGAGCCCCCATGGAGGGTCTGGCCGGCTGAAGGACGCGGAGCTGGCAGAGGGCACCGAGCGAGCCCCGAGGGCGGCAGGGCGCTGCCCGGCCGAGCCGCCGCGGTCCCTCTGCAGCCGCGCTCTCCGCACCCCCTGGAGCAAACCGCAGCGCTTGTTAATGAAGGAACTTATGGAAGATTGCAAAACACCGTAAATAATTTAGCATTGTATTTCAGGAAAAAAAATAGCTTTCTTAAATCATCTCCTCAATATAACTTGCAGACTTACAGTATGGCCCTGGTAAGTCTAAATTTTTAAAGTAGCAATACTCAAAGAGACAGAGATGTCTGTATTAATTATTTATCCGCTGGTGCCTTCCTTCGTTTCTAACTTATTATTAATTAGGCGCCTCTAGTCTTTCGCAGAGAGCTCCACAGAGCCAGTTGCAGCTTTAAATATGAATTAAAAGCAAATCCAAGCTACTGTAATGCGAAAATTATTCCGTGTCTTCTATGGCAGAGATGAATAGCTGCGCAAATCAATACTGTGAAGCTATGCTCCAAACGACAGGGTTATTGATAGCTTATATTAATGATGTTAATGATGGAAAAAGGAAAACAAGAACCCGACCAACTTATAAACTTTTTATCTGCTGAAACCCCGCAATCAAGCGGACAGGAGCATGAATTAAGGGG